ATCTGTATAAGAGCTTACTCATTAGGTCGCTTATGGTGGTTTGAGAACTGATAGTTGAGTTTTTCCACAATCTGATGAACAAACCTTTCGATGTCACTTAATTTCACTTAGCTTCGCCTCCAAAAGGCTAACTCTAATCAAACAGTAGTTTTATTTAATTCATAATTATCGTCTTGATAACTACTTCTAAAATAAATTGCGTCGTTGATTGAAATGGTGATCGAATATTTGCTTAACTAATAATCTTACTATAAATGTGATTTGGGTGAGGCCTGACTTGCCTTGAATTTCACATCATCCCTGTGACCCCTTGCTACCTCTGGCAATGTATCGAATCGCTTTTGAGGATGCCTATGAGATCTAGGCGAGGTAAAAACTGCGATCCTTCCTATAACAGGTAGTCCCTAGGGCGGCCAGTCTAAGTGAGATTCAGTGGCGTGAGGCCTACTCATCTTACGGTTAGAAAGCTGAATTGTTAATCCTTAAGCCACCCTAAGCAACAGAATGACTACGTTCCTATTCAATAATTACATATACTTACTTTGAAAATAGTATCAATTTTTTCGTGCTTTTTTGGCTTTATTCCTATTATTTAATTATGTATTTAAAAATTAGATTATGTCAACAAATGCGACTGATTTGCGGCTTCTTAATCATCCTCGGCGTGTACTGAATTCAGCAATTATCAGATTCGATCCCCAGCTTAGCAGAGAAAATCAACGCCGCCGATTAGCCCAGTCTGGACTCGAGGATCAGGTTGACACGTACAATTGGGGCGAGGCGGAGGTAGACAATTATGTTGAGGCATACGACTGCAGGCCCCCTCCTATCTTTATTCCTCTTGTGACTCTAGTTGAGGTGAGAATCTATACAACATTAATTCACATTGCTTTTACGATTTGCATTTATCATGGCTAGCACTAATGTTTTTTATAAAATATAATAGTAATCTCCTTTATATTTGGCAGCATACCAAAGATAATTTTAATTATTATCCAAAGTTGTTAATAGGACAGTTTATTATTTAGTTCATTATAGATCAAAGATGACTTTTTATCGTTTCTGGAAAGTGACACTTTCCACACCTGTCTTCTCCCTATGAAGCACCTCACTCAGTTTATAAGTCTAATTTGTATGAGACCTCATTAGATAATGTGATCTAAACGACTCTAATATTTACTATTCTTAAAAGAATCTTTGCTCTTCAATTGTGGCAAGAATGGTGTCTTGTTCTAACGATATCTATTGTTTGACAGATAATAGATGAGGATGGTCATTAAAAGACGAAGAATGCTGCTCAAGGACTGCAACTACCTTAATGATTACGTATCCGAACATCTTTTTAACAGCCAAAATATAATCTTTATTTAACATTTGATAAAACTGCTCTATGAGTCCTTTCATCTCATATTTTCAAATGCAATTTGTTTCTTTATTAAATAGGCAAATTAATTGTCCTTGATAAACATGCTTTAAATGAAATTGTTTTCTTTAGGACATTCCAGACTGCTCCCTCTTCTCAACATTTAACATAGAAACCCAACGGCTATGCTAGCCGAAGTATCAGTGGCTCATCTTTAGTATCTATATAGATTACAATCCATAGTTGAATTTTTGTTCCCTTTTCTGTGTTAGCCATCATGTTTATAGTAAAATTGACAACGCCTATTTTCTATACTATTTTCCAAGTTTATTACCTAGCGAGGTTAAATTTTATATGGGTATTATTATGGCATCAACGTATTATATAAGCATTAGAAAAAATGTTACTTGGAAAAGTTCTTCTATCCTTTATACATTTTCTTTGCTTTATTAATTTTCAACGTACCACCTAACTCTTCTGGCCCCTAGGGCTTGGCCTAGAAAGTTAACCGATACATGGTAATGTACCAACTTTTGATGTAGATACATACTTTGCTATGCAAATAATTGCATCTAGATTGGTGTCTTCATTTACTACGCGATTATTCTCGGCCGCGACAACGACCCAGAAAATGACGTCACTAGCAGTTCAGGCTTAGATCTTGACAGTCCGCTTGTCTTCGATCCCCGTAAACGATATCAGGCATGGCGTTTTGTCAGCTACATGCTTATGCACAATGGATATGTCCATCTAATTTTCAACTGCATCTTCCAACTTTGTCTTGGGCTCCTACTTGAGGTAGTGCACAAGTTTTGGCGTGTTGGTCTTGTTTATCTTCTCGGTGTGATCGCTGGTGAGTTCAACCGTTTAATTTAATACATATATTCTTGTATATATGTAGCTATTTATGATTTGATAGATTTACCTTCTATAGCCCACCGAAAACCCCCAGCAGTGCTAAGGGGCACTCACAATTTTAGTGAAGCTGACCGTATGATAAATTTATTCATCTAATGGTGTTCAAGGTGATTTAATTACTAATAGTTGAGTTTCTACCATAGTGATATAAGTATGCCTCATGATGCAATTCAATTTTACTAAGCCTTTCCTCCCAAAAGGTTTTCTTATCTAAGACTGCACATGCCGCGCATTCACGTGCCTAACTCAATATCGAAGCTTTTTGGAGATGCTGATGATACCTCGTTGCTTTCTTAACTATCAGTCCTTACTTTACCTTAAGCTATAAGCAATGACTTAAATTATCCATGTGAATTGACCAAAGGCAAATTTCAGTTTACATTACGTTACGAAAGATAACTATGAATGTATAATGTAGGATATGATCTCAGAGTAAGAGCATGTTTGTTTAAAAACAAGGGCGGCTACGTAATTTATTTATTTTTAATGTGGGTACGTTTAGAAACTATCAGTGATTCTTGAGCGAGCCATCTTAGTCACCCTATATCGCTTAAGCATTTATATTTGTAAAACCTTTTATTAAAGATTTTCATCTCATCCTATATTTTGATTTTTCAAGTTTTTACTTGACGGCTATTCGAAGTTGTTGCCTATATGCTACCAATAAAATAATGATGATTACTAGCGGGTATGAGTTAGCTTACGATGTGTAGTCTTTAGCGAATACTATTTAAAAGCAGAATTTTGTCTATTCTACCCCATTTAATCCTTAACGTAGACAACCTGGCGTCTTATCTATAGGCAAGTCTAATCACTAATCTAGAGTTAATGATTGTTTATTCGGTGTTTTTAAAAGTCTGATGTTTTGAACTTATTTTTTTCCGGACGTCATTTTGGTTGAGTTCTATGGCGTCCAACATTGATTGCAACCTAAACACTCCGTCCTCCCAAGGATGGAGGCTACGGAAATTCGGTCATGCAAACAAAATTATTTTATTTATTGGCTTTATGTATAAATGTCTTTATTTTGAACAAAACCATTTAAATTCATTTAAATATTAATTACTTTCTGTACCTCTAGGTTCCCTCGCTTCATCAGTTACTGATCGCTATACCTTCCTTGTTGGAGCAAGTGGTGGGGCCTATGCTCTAATTGGTGCCCATATTGCCACAGTTGTCATGGTAAGCAACTCATCTAGACAGGGTCTTAGCCTCCATCTCCAGCTTGCTTTGATAATCACAACTACCTGAATTTTTGAGGTCGCGATTGATTGATTTAGTATACTTATCATTTATATGACCATAATCACCCTACGTCGCTTAAGGTTATTCAAGGACTGATAGACGAGTTTTCCAGCTGAGAAATATAAGCAACTATTGAATCTAAATTAGACTTGCCTCCCAAAAGGCTTACTCATTCATAATAAAATACAGATTCGGCCTAGTCTAGGTCTCATCGGCACCCCACTAGGGTGATCGGATCAAAAATATTTTTCATTTAATCAAAAATTTAAAAAGAAACGAGATTTCCAAAGCGATTTTAAATATATACTACTTATTTTCGTTTATTAGTCTCTTTTCGAAACTATCAGTACATCATATATATGAGATGTCAACCCTATTTCTTTTAGGTGATGAAGTGTGATGATGAATTTTCCCACAATGTTATGATTAGACTTCTTCCATTTAATTTCTTTTAGCCTTGCTTCTCAAAAGCTATTCTCATCCAGGTTGGGCTGCAATTTCGACTTCGCTTAAGTCTCACAGTCTCCCAGTGGACTCTACCCGTGATAGGGCAGTGTATAATCTCGACACATTAACCACTACGCCACATGGCCATGAGCGACCTTGCGTTCATAGCAGATGTAAATTTTCTGGAAGGCCAGGCATTTTTCTGTGTTGGAGTCATTGACGAAGTATAGAAATCGATCACATTACATATTTTTTCGTTTCTATGTAGGTTTTATAGACCACAAGTAGATCATATATAATAAAATAAAACTTTGCTTTATCAAAAATCCCACCAAAGAATGGAATTCACCTCTGCTTTGGGACCCAGGGGCACTCGTGACAGTGTAACTTAGTGGTTAATGCGTCTAGATTATGCGCTGTAGTATCACGGTTAAAGTCTTACTGAAGGGGCTGAGGAGAGTAAGCAGAGGTCGAAAATGCAGTCCAGCCTGGATGAAAATATCCTTTGGGAAATAAGGCTATGCAAAATTCAATGGCAACGTAAGTTTTACTTATCATAGTTGGAAAATTCACTAATCAGTCCATTATCTTAACGAAATAGGGTGAATACATCTTATATATATATTACTTAGTTTGCTTGAGCCATAATCTATGTATAGATTAAACGATCTTATGATTATTCCA